TGGAACCAGCAACAGAATCCAGGTACACGATACCCAGGCTTTTGCTTTAACCATTTTTGGTAGGTTATTTGTCGCTACAGTATTTGTCAATACTGTCGCAGTTCTCATCGATGGCTATCCATGACTCCAGAGTCCAAACCTCCCGCCCTACCAGGAGCACACAGCACTTTGAAATGCCATGCGCTCCTCACACAGTGGAAGGAGACGTCACGTGCTCCCCGCCCCCGAATCCTGATTGGCCTGTGGATGGGAAGAGCGCGTAAAGTTTCCTCCGTCTTCCCCCCCCACCCTGTGAGGAGTGTGCGGCACTTCAAAGTGCCATACGCTCACGCAGGGCCGGAGCAGGACATAGGAAGCTTCGCGCAGCTCCCCTGCCCCCAGACCCTGATTGACCTGGGGGCAGAGGAGCATGCAAAGCCTCTTCCCGCCCTGCCAGGGGCATGGATGCCTAGTGGGAAGGGGGGGCAAAGGGGCTCCCCCAGACAAATCATGGTCTGTGGGTGGGGAAGCCCAGAAGCATCCTGGCCCCGCCTCTTCTGGTTAGGCCCTGGAGCAGGGTAGCCCAGGGCCACTTCAAACATTTTTGAAGGTATCTGATGGGCTCAGGGTTCGGGTCTGGGGGGGTGCAGCAGTCTTATGATGCTGTGGCCAGATGGGAGCTTGTTGGCCAGGCTTCATTTTTAAATAAATTTTGTCAAACACAATGTTTCAGCATTGTCTTTATGAGAGAGATGGGGAATCTGTTTTGGGTCACAGGTCACTGACCCTCAGAAAAAAAATCAGTTGGGGACCACATAAGTGAGATGCAAAAAACACCTCCAGAACCCTCAACCCTCACTGAATATGACCCCCAACTGAGACACCTCAATTCTCTGGTGCTCCAGTCCCATGGGAAGAGGGGGAGGGACAGGGATGACTGAAGTTCAGGGCTTCCCATGGGCCAGGTTTACTCTTCTGGGGTTTCGGGTTTAGTGGACACCCTAGGCTGAGGACCCCCCCCCCCCCCCCCCAGCCTCACTGATGTGACCCCAACTGAGACACCTCACTCCCCTGGCACTCCAGCCCCAGGGGGCGGGGAGGGGGGAGTAGATAGGACTGAGGTTCAGGCCAGATTAACTCTTCTGGGGTTCCAGGGTTAATGGAATTTGTGGGCCCCTCTACACTCTGAAGTGGAGCCAAAAATGAGGGATCCAGTGTGCAGGACAAGGCTGCCAGGGAGTGGGATAGGGATGGGGGGGAAATCTGGATGGAAAATATGGTACAGGAGCAAGCTGAGGGAAGGTATCTGGCTGGGAGGGAGGGGGCAGGAGCAGGGTGCGGGTGGGCGTCTGACCACAAGGCAGGGGCAAGGGGCTGGTGGGGGTATGGGCAACAGGCAGGTTCTGGTGGGGGATCTGGCCAAGGGGAGGGGGTA